ATAAAAATGAGTATATGAATATAAAATAAATCTAGTATATGTAAAACAAAAAATACATATATAAATAGAAAATGAATGTACTATATATAAAATAAAAATTAATTTAATATATATATATGTGTGTAAAATAAGAAATGTATAATTAACAAATATATGTAAAATAAAAACTGCTTATATTAATATAAAATTAATCTAGTATATGTAAAACAACTTTTTTATTAAAATTTTATTATTTTATTAAAGTTTTATAAAAAAAATTCTTATTGCAGAGCAAATGCATATCAAATATCATCAAAAAGATCATATATATTCTTATGAAATATTTTTTTGAGCTAAATTATTTTAATATCTATTTCACCCAGTCCTAACACATAGTTTGACAGTCAGATCCATCAGTGTCTCGTTTTCTCCAGACTGAAGCTGCTCTTGTCCTGGCTGGAATCTCGTGTTCAGGAGGGCTCTGAAGAACCCGCTACCCACAATGCACTGGCAAAGATCTACATAGACAGTAACAACAATCCTGAGCGCTTCCTCCGAGAAAACCTGCACTACGACAGCGTGACCGTGGGCCGATACTGCGAGAAGAGAGACCCGCAACTCGCCTTTGTGGCCTATGAGAGAGGACAGTGTGACCTGGAGCTCATACAGGTGTCTTCTGCTCTCCACGGCTGCATTTATTTGATCAAAAATACTGTAAAATCAGTAATATTATGAAATATTTTTACAATTTAAAATAACCACTGTCTATTTGAATATACTGTAAAATGTAATTTATTTCTGTGATCAAAGCTGAATTTTCAGCATCATCACTCCAGTCTTCAGTGTCACATGATCTTCAGAAATCATTCTAATATGTCCTGTAGGTGTGCAATGAAAACTCCCTGTTTAAAAGTGAGTCGCGGTATCTGGTGCGGCGGAAAGATCCAGATCTTTGGGCTCAAGTTCTGCAGGAGACGAACCCGTACAGACGGCCGCTGATAGATCAGGCACGAGTCGCACCTGAAACATCTACAGATATCATGCAGTGTGTGATCATTGAGATGTTAATGATGCAAATTAAGTTCTTAGCAATGCATATTACTAATCAAAAATTAAGTTTTGATATATTTACGGTAGGAAATTTACAAAATATCTTCATGGAACATGATCTTTACTTAATATCCTAATGATTTTTGGCATAAAAGAAAAATCAATAATTTTGACCCATACAATGTATTGTTGGCTATTGCTACAAATATACCCCAGCGACTTAAGACTGCTTTTGTGCTCCAGGGACACATTTATGTTTGTATTTGTGTCGTTGCACAGGAAGCCAAACTCACAGATCAGCTTCCTCTCATCATCGTGTGCGACCGCTTCGATTTCGTCCACGATCTCGTGCTCTACCTGTACCGCAACAGCCTGCAGAAATACATCGAGATCTACGTACAGAAGGTACGCTGAAAGCCCTGTACACGAGAAGCACACGCTGCTGATCTGGAGAGTTCACACATGTGTGTTTGCACTGCTGCAGGTCAATCCCAGCCGGCTGCCGGTGGTGGTCGGGGGTCTGCTGGATGTCGACTGCTCCGAGGACACCATCAAGAGTCTGATCCTCGCCGTACGAGGAGATTTCAGCACTGACCAGCTGGTGGAGGAAGTGGAGAAAAGAAACCGGTATCAAAACACGTCAACTGCTGTATTAAATCAATATCACATTTGCAAACTCCCTTAACTTCTTTCCCCGCCAAAGACGAGTTTTTACGGCTTTTCATGTTTTCACTGTTATACACTCGGGGGCGCTATTACACATATATATATATGAAATATTTTTGTTGAGATAACATAGTTTAATATCTGTATTACCCATTCCTCACACATATTTGTGTTAGCTGATAGCTCCATCAGTGTCTCTCTCCTAATTTTCTCCAGACTGAAGCTGCTCTTGTCTTGGCTGGAATCTCGTGTTCAGGAGGGCTGTGAAGAACCTGCTACCCACAATGCATTGGCAAAGATCTACATAGACAGTAACAACAGTCCTGAGTGCTTCCTCCGAGAAAACCTGCACTACGACAGCGCGACCGTGGGCCGATACTGCGAGAAGAGAGACCCTCACCTCGCCTTTGTGGCCTATGAGAGAGGACAGTGTGACCTGGAGCTCATACAGGTGTCTTCTGCTCTCCACGGCTGCATTTATTTGATCAAAAATACTGTAAAATCAGTAATATTATGAAATATTTTTACAATTTAAAATAACCACTGTCTATTTGAATATACTGTAAAATGTAATTTATTTCTGTGATCAAAGCTGAATTTTCAGCATCATCACTCCAGTCTTCAGTGTCACGTGATCTTCAGAAATCATTCTAATATGTCCTGTAGGTGTGCAATGAAAACTCCCTGTTTAAAAGTGAGTCGCGGTATCTGGTGCGGCGGAAAGATCCAGATCTTTGGGCTCAAGTTCTGCAGGAGACGAACCCGTACAGACGGCCGCTGATAGATCAGGCACGAGTCACACCTGAAACATCTACAGATATCATGCAGTGTGTGATCATTGAGATGTTAATGATGAGGATTGTGTGCACAGGTGGTTCAGACGGCTCTGCCGGAGACGCAGGATCCAGAGGAAGTGTCTGTGACGGTGAAGGCGTTTATGACGGCCGATCTGCCTAATGAACTCATTGAACTTCTGGAGAAGATCGTTCTGGAGAACTCCATATTCAGTGAACACAGGTCTGTCTGAGAGACACCTGTCACACCGCTTGAGATCAAATTCATATTATACCAGAGACCATATTTGTGACCCTGGACCACAAAACCAGTCATAAGTGTCAATTTTTTCATCTGAAAGCTGAATAAATAAGCTTTCCATTGATGTATGGTTTGTTAGGATCGGACAATATTTGGCCGAGATACAACTATTTGAAAATCTAGAATCTGAGGGTGCAAAAAAATCTAAATATTGAGAAAATCATCTTTAAAGTTGTCCAAATGAAGTTCTTAGCAATGCATATTACTAATCAAAAATTAAGTTTTAATATATTTACAGTAGGAAATTTACAAAATATCTTCATGGAACATGATGATCTCTTAATATCCTAATGATTTTTGGCATAAAAGAAAAATCTATAATTTTGACCCATGCAATGTTTTTTTGGCTATTGCTACAAATATACCCCAGTGACTTAAGACTGCTTTTGTTCTCCAGGGTCACATATCACGAGGTGAAATTTTATGTAATGGTCCAAATGAAATATATAATGAATAAAATGCATTGCAAAAATCACACAGATTGTGTAAATAAAGGATTGTTTTTGACTGACAGGAAAATCATGTAGTTGGAGAGTAGCTGTGTGGAGCATCAAAAGTAGATTATAATTATTCTTATTATATTATATTGAATAAAGATTGATTGTTTTGTTATATTCCTCATTTTTAAGAAGCATTGAATAAAAGCACATGCTAAATGTAAATGTATTTAAATGACAAATGTAAATACAATAAAAGTACATATATTAGATTACAATGTTTAATATTTTATTTTATTTTATTTTATTAAGATTAACCACTGTTGAATAGTACCTCTGCATAAAAGCATCTGCTAAATTAATAAATGTAAATATATTACATCACAACATTATTATTTAATTATAAATTAAATTAAGATTCATCTCAGTCTTCATTCATACAGTTTTGAATGAATGTATTGTATTATATTATTAAATTATATTACATCACATTTAATTAAGATTGATTGCTTTGTTATACATCTCATTTCATTGTATCTGCTAAATGAATAAATGTAAATGCATTTTATTCTATTCCATTCCATTATATTATATTTGTATGTTATATTATATTATAATGCTGAATTAGGATTAATTGCTTTGTCTTTTGCATCAGGAACCTGCAGAACCTGCTGATCCTGACAGCCATCAAAGCGGACCGGACGCGGGTCATGGAGTACATCAACCGGCTGGACAATTACGACGCTCCTGACATCGCCAACATCGCCATCAGCAGCGAGCTGTACGAAGAGGCCTTCTCCATCTTCAAGAAGTTCGACGTCAACACCTCAGCGATTCAGGTACACAAACACATGATCACGTGACGGTCTGCACACAGACGTCTGGACTGACAAACGAGGAATATAATAAACTGATGCAGGTTCTGATCGAGCACATGGGCAATCTGGACCGGGCGTACGAGTTTGCGGAGCGCTGTGCCGAGGGCTCGGTCTGGAGTCGGCTGGCTCAGGCTCAGCTTCAGTCCGGTCTGATCAAAGAGGCCATCGACTCCTACATCAAAGCTGGAGAGCCGTCGGCGTACATGGAGGTGGTGGATGCTGCCAGTAGAAACGGTGAGATGATCTGTCCTCAAACGTCCTTAAAGAAGTAGTTCACTTCCAGAACAAAAATGTACAGATAATGTACTCACCTCCTTGTCATCCAAGATGTTCATGTCTTTCTTCAGTCATAAAGAAATTATGTTTTTTGAGGAAAACATTTCAGGATTTCTCTCCATATAATGGACTTCTATGGTGC